CAACTACTACTACAAGGTAAGTAATTCTACTAGTTTTATTTGATTCAAGTACCCCATGCCATGCTAGTTAGAATGCTCAAAACCCATCACTATTTGGAAACAAACACACACACATTCTTTCTTTCTTTCTTTCTTTCTCTCTCTCTCTCTCTCTCTCTCTCTCTCTCTCTCTCTCTCTCTCTCATTTGCAACCAGTACAACTCTCCCTCTATTTGTTACATGAAAAAACCCATCATTTTCTCCCCTTCTCTTTACCGATGAGCACTACCGACGACTACTCTTTCTCTGGCGGTAATGTTGGAGGCGATGATACCCTACTTGATGAGTTCAATGACAACGGGTGGGGTGGGACATGTGGGGTCCCATCTAATAAATTATAATAACAAAACAATTATAATTAAGAAAATTAGCAAATCAGTAAATGGTAAAAAAAAAACAAGCGCAATGTAGTTATTTCAACAAAATTTAAGGAATAAGACAAACGAAAACCGCCTTAAGGACTAAAGTTGATGAATTTGGAAACTATGTGGATCTCTGCCTATCAATATTTCAAAATTAGCACCAAACTCGCCGAAAGTTGCATACGCTAGTGAGCCAAACTGTAATTTACTCTAAAGATAATTGAAATTATATTTCGATTGTAATTATCATTCGGTAACTATCCATATCGAATCAAATTTATTATAGGAGAAAAAGACAAATATGTCTAATCCTTTCGACCATTTTCTAAGAAATAATAATTTTTTTGCCAAATCTCCTAAATAGACATTGTTTTTGTATATGACATCTACGAGGGTCGACCAACTGGATTCTACTGAACAATCGAAACATGTTCTACTAGAACATTATCTACCATATACAAATATATAACACTTCAAAATTTTTGAATAACCCTTTTCAAGTGTTCCATATCATTATCATCGACTATAACATACTTCAGTGTAAGATGTTAGGAAGATAATATTATATTAAACATGTCTTCACTTTTATCAAATTTAATAAATCAGTTAAATTAGCTCTAGACCGTAATTTTTAACAAAAATCCTAAAATATATGCATTCACCATTTTTCAATTGTCATGAACCACCGATACTAACAAATACAAAATACTCATCTGTAAAATTTGAAGTCATGTTTTTTTTTCTTAGAGAACGGATAGCAAACATACAAATTTGTGTTGGATATTTTTATTTTATGAAAGTAAATCTTATGAAATAACCATTACTTCTTTCTCTTAATTTACTATATGGATACATATGTCAAATTTTATAGTACGGATGTTAGATTTTGCAGTAAGGATGACATAAAAGTGATAGTATGGATGACAAAAAAGTACAATTTTTTTAATACAAAACAATCTTTTCTAGATGTCACTTGCAAAATCGTTGATGACATTTGAGAAATCATTTTTCGTATATGGTATCTGTCACTTCGCAAATGCCATTTGAGAAATAGGCTTTCCTTAATTCATTTCGTATATGTCATCTGCAAAATCGCTGATGACATTTTAGAAAATCCTTTTCACATATGGATATGGTACCTGTCGCTTCGCAAATGCCATTTGAGAAATAAGCATCAAATGATTTTGTAAATGTTTTCTATGAAATCCTCCCTTAAAAATCCCTTCGATTTTTCCCATTTAAATATTTACTATATTTCGCATCTGACTTTTAATTTTGTAAATGTTATCTACGAAATTGATGATTGTTTTTAAGATTTCACAATTTTTTTATTATTTCTTTTAAAATAATTAATAGAATTAGACATATATGTTTTTTTCAAGGTTGTGAAAATCGTTCGGCGGTAGTTGGACGGTCGTCTAACGTTAAGCGATTAATCGGATTAAACTGTGATTAATCGGAGACTCTAAATTATTAATAAATATATTTAAAAAATTAATATATCTTAAAAAAAAGTATTTGAAAACTTTAAATTTTAAAATTTTAAAATTTTGAAAATTTTAGTATAATATTTTAAAAAATGAAAACTTAAAAATTTGAAAATTTAAAATTTTGATGTAATATTTGAAAATTTGAAAATTTTTAAATATTTCTCGCCTATGACCGCCAATGACCGTCAAGGGCCGCCAAGCCCGAATTTGACCGATTTTGAGTTTTGACCAATTTCCATCATGCCCGAATTTGACCGATTTTAATCAATTTTCGCCAAGCGATTAATCGGTCGCCAAGACCACTATTATCCTAGGAATATCACTTTGAGAGAGGTGATCCACTCTTTCTATGCAAGGAGAGGAACAACAAACACATTTGGAGGCAAAATTCATTCCAAACCTGGGAAAACTGCTATCAACAGCAATGACATTCTTAATTAGTCTTAGTTTCCACAAAAAAACACCCATTTTCAAGGGCAACCATTTGTTCCAAAGATTTTCATAAAGAGATCTCTAGCCAGTCTCTTCTTTTGAGAGGACAACTCAATCAACTCGGCGGATCCCCTCTTGTC